AAAATGTAAATCTCTTTAGTTTGGAAAAACGGCGCCTCAGAGGGGATATGATAACTTTATACAAAGATATTCGGGGCCAGTACAAACCATTATCTGGAAATCTATTCATAAACAGGGCTATACATAGGACAAGAGGTCACACATTTAGGCTGGAAGAAAGGAAATTTCATATAAGGCAAGAAAATATTTTTTTACAGTAAAAGTAACAAGGATATGGGATTCTCTGCCTGAAGAGGTGGTTTTACCAGAGTCCGTATAGATGTTTAAACTGCAATGGATAAATACTTGCAAGAACATAACATACATAACAACATACACTAATTTCTAATTAGTGGGGTAATAGCTGCTTGATCCAAGGAGACATCTGACTGTTATTTTGGGGTCAAAAAGGAATTTTTTCCTAGTTTGTTGCAAAATTGGAAGCGCTACAGACTAGGTTTTTTGCCTTCTTTTGGATCAACAGCAAAAACATATGTGAGAAAGGCTGAACTTGATGGACGCAAGTCTCTTTTCAGCTATGTAATTATGTAACTATGTAACCATTTAACCCCTTGAGGTAAACCTTCTTCCAGGAGCCCCTTGCACCATAACAACTTCATTCTGAAGCCCATCACACCACAGGCACACAGTGAGAATTAAATAGAGTGCCCTGACAAAATACTTCAGGGATAATGCCGACCAACAGGCTGAGACACCAGGCCCCAACATGCACCGAATTCCCCGCCAGATCTTAAGCCACCATCCAGCCCGGGAAACCCAGGAAATACACTGCAAGAACGCTTTAATCTTATTCTTCATAAAGAGGCATCATAGATTATACTGTCTGAGAGGGTCCACAGAGCACTCCTTCCCAGAGGCCCAGCAGCTGAAGCACCGAGAGACGTGATCGGGGCCGTCATCAGGGGGTGACAACCATGATGGTTGTCACGGGCCCGGCGGTCCTGGGGGGCCCGGCAGCCCGAGCCCCACGTGTAGCGGCGGAACTGCTGCCGGTAAACTTGCACCGGGGCCCGCACGCTGATGGGGCCTATCGGGTGGCCCACGCACTTAGGGCCACCCGATGGGCCCTATATCTTCAGGGACCCGGTCAGCGCTGTGGCCGCGTAATAGCACGACCAGGCCCCTTTTAAAAAAAACTAAAAAAAACGCAACGGCAACGCAAGTGCTGCTGGGAAAGTGGTCACTTCCTCCCAGCTCACTCCGCGCGGGAGGACCGCCTGTGAAGAGGGAGAGCCGTGCCAACGCATCAGCCCCAGCCACCCTCCTGCAAAAGGTAAGCTGAAAGATGAGCTCTGTGTGTGTGTGTGTGTGTGTGTGTTTGTCTGTATGCATGTATGAATGTATGCACTTCCTCCCAGCTCACTCCGCGCGGGAGGACCGCCTGTGAAGAGGGAGAGCCGTGCCAACGCATCAGCCCCAGCTGATGTATCCCTCCTGCAAAAGGTAAGCTGTGAGCTGTGTGTGTGTGTGTATGTGTGTGTGTTGTGTCTGTATGCATGTATGAATGTATGCATGTCTGTCAGTATGTATGTATATATATGTCTCGATGTCTGTATGTATATATGTATATATGTCTGTATGTCTGTCTGTCAGTATATATGTATATATGTATGTATGTGTGTCTGTATGCATGTGTGTATATATGTATGTCTGTGTGTCTGTATGTATGTACAGTTGCAAGAAAAAGTATGTGAACCCTTTGGAATGATATGGATTTCTGCACAAATTGGTCATAAAATGTGATCTGATCATCACCTAAGTCACAACAATAGACAATCACAGTCTGCTTAAACTAATAACACACAAAGAATGAAATGTTGCCATGTTTTTATTGAACACACCATGTAAACATTCACAGTGCAGGTGGAAAAAAGTATGTGAACCCCTAGACTAATGACATCTCCAAGAGCTAATTGGAGTGAGATGTCAGCCAACTGGAGTCCAATCAATGAGATGAGATTGGAGGTGTTGGTTACAGCTGCCCTGCCCTATAAAAACACACACACCAGTTCTGGGTTTGCTTTTCACAAGAAGCATTGCCTGATGTGAATGATGCCTCGCACAAAAGAGCTCTCAGAAGACCTACGATTAAGAATTGTTGACTTGCATAAAGCTGGAAAGGGTTATAAAAGTATCTCCAAAAGCCTTGCTGTTCATCAGTCCACGGTAAGACAAATTGTCTATAAATGGAGAAAGTTCAGCACTGCTGCTACTCTCCCTAGGAGTGGCCGTCCTGTAAAGATGACTGCAAGAACACAGCGCAGACTGCTCAATGAGGTGAAGAAGAATCCTAGAGTGTCAGCTAAAGACTTACAAAAGTCACTGGCAAATGCTAACATCCCTGTTAGCGAAGCTACAATACGTAAAACACTAAACAAGAATGGATTTCATGGGAGGATACCACAGAGGAAGCCACTGCTGATCAAACAAAACATTGCTGCATGTTTACAGTTTGCACAAGAGCACCTGGATGTTCCACAGCAGTACTAGCAAAATATTCTGTGGACAGATGAAACCAAAGTTGAGTTGTTTGGAAGAAACACACAACACTATGTGTGGCGAAAAAAAGGCACAGCACACCAACATCAAAACCTCATCCCAACTGTGAAGTATGGTGGTGGGGGCATCATGGTTTGGGGCTGCTTTGCTGAGTCAGGGCCTGGACGGATTGCTATCATCGAAGGAAAAAATAATTTCTGAGTTTATCAAGACATTTTGCAGGAGAACTTAAGGCCATCTGTCCACCAGCTGAAGCTCAACAGAAGATGGGTGTTGCAACAGGACAATGACCCAAAGCATAGAAGTAAATCAACAACAGAATGGCCTAAACAGAAGAAAATACGCCTTCTGAAGTGGCCCAGTCAGAGTCCTGACCTCAACCCGATTGAGATGCTGTGGCATGACCTCAAGAAAGCGATTCACACCAGACATCCCAAGAATATTGCTGATCTGAAACAGTTCTGTAAAGAGCAATGGTCAAGAATTACTCCTGACCGTTGTGCTCATATGATCTGCAACTACAGGAAACGTTTGGTTGAAGTTATTGCTGCCAAAGGAGGTTCAACCATTTATTAAATCCAAGGTGTGACGAGACCAATCTCGCCACATTGCATTGGAGAAGCCTGGTTGCTCGCCTGTTGCCTTTGGATTATGGCCCCATGTTAAAAGGCTTGATTTTCCCCTGCAAAGACATGAAAGCCGGGTCATTTGGTGCTTTCCCTGTTTGAGCGGTGATACCCCAGATAGCTATGCCATGGAGCCCATTCGTATAATGAAAGACTATGGGAAAAACTTTGGCTCCATGGCAATTGAACTGTATGTGTGTGCTCTGAGCGCCATTCAGTAATAATGTGTGCTCAGATCTGAGCTATCTGGGGATATGTTGAATGTACCTGCTTTGTGCAATGGCTGCACAATTATATGTTTTTATGTGTTTTATTGTCTTTTGCTGCCATGTGTTCAATGGAGTTTTGCCTCTGTCCTTGGAGATAATTGGATTACTTCACAATTATCTCCAGGATAGAAGATTGTAGAACTGGTTTTGGGCAGAAAAGCCATGCTTCCTTTGGTCACAAAGGACCATGATCTAGTTTTTGAACCACTGGACCAATTTGGATGATTTTGACATAGGTTTGTATTTGGAGTATGCTGATTCTGAAAATTTAAGTTTATGTGAATGTGATGCATACTTTTCAAGTTATGAATAACGTGGAAAAATTGTATTTCTCTGCTTATCATAATCACATTATCCATTGTGTAAGGTAATTGTATCACAGGCAGAGGGGAGGATTTTGTGTGGGAGTGTCTGAGTGTATTGTATGTGTTTATTGGTTGTGTTCCAAAACCCTGTAGGTGGTACTAATGTGTAAGAATGTGTACATAAGCACAATAAACCCACAGCTCTGACTGTTCACTGCTTGACCCTCAACACGGAGCTTTGTCTCGTTCTTGGGGGGATTTATTGTATGCTGTTCCAGTTCGACTGCTAGGAGTGTAAACCTATTCGTATGGTTTTTCCTATTCGGCTGTTTACAGCATTCATATGGTTTCCTGTTCGGCGGATTGGTGTTCTGCAGTAGCTGTGCCTATGTCTCTGGAAGGGAAGATCTACTAAACAGCGGTTTAACCCTTTTATGCCTGGGGGTGCCGTTACACAAGGGTTCACATACTTTTTCCACCTGCACTGTGAATGTTTACATGGTGTGTTCAATAAAAACATGGCAACATTTGATTCTTTGTGTGTTATTAGTTTAAGCAGACTGTGATTGTCTATTGTTGTGACTTAGGTGATGATCAGATTACATTTTATGACCAATTTGTGCAGAAATCCTTATCATTCCAAAGGGTTCACATACTTTTTCTTGCAACTGTAGCTAGATGGCACTGTACGCCTGCTTGAATCAAAAGATTTTTCCCTAACTCACCTAACAATTGCTGGAGGTGCAAACAAACCAGTGGCACTCCGGGACACATATGGTGGATTTGCCCTACTATACAAGAATACATACACGACCAAACATCACTGCCGCAGCCACGCGTTCGCCCATATGAACGACGACCACCCATCCGATCACCCATTAAGTTGCGATTTAGAGGTGTAAATAGGGGTAATGAGCTGCACACTCCACTTATGGGTGGTCCAACTGTTTGGTAACTGAACAGAATAAGTACAATCCATTCGGTAAGCCCCATATACCGAACCATGTAAAGGAAAAGGCACGAACAAAGTCTTTCCACAGTCCTGAACCAAGGTCTAATACATGGGTCATAGTCCTGGGGCAAGAGGCTTACAAGCAGGCCCCTCCAAGAACCAGTGGCAATGTTACTTTCGTCACACACCATCACAGGAATTCGAATCCTCAACACACCTGAAGTCATGATATTTAAGCCATACCCCCTCCCCGTTGCAAAACACCAACGCTGATAAACTACCTCCTCACAGCTGCAAACAGTCTGATCCCCACAAAGTGGAAGCAAACTACAACTCCCTCTATTAGAGTCCACCTTATTAATCCATTCCCTAATAGAACAATGGAGGAACTATCCTATTCCTTCTCCCATAAATATGAGGAGTATAGAACCACCTGGGAACCTTGGTTGACATTCTTACAGGCACCACTCCGCAAGATTGGAGGCAGTCCTGAAGTGAGTGGTAACAGATAGGGAGTCACCAGATAAGGTTCATACAAGTTGCTTAGACGAGATCACCCACCACACATGAGGGCTCCTATTGATATTGGCACGCACAAGCCATGGGATGATACTTGTTCAGACTCCAATTTTCTAACTACTGTACAAAGTTTGACCCTTATACTATTGAACGTGAGGTTATATGAGACTAGTTTATATCCCATGTTAAATCTCTTACTTTATCTATGTACATTTTGCTGTTTCACATACTTTTTACATGTTTGTATTTCTAAGCAGATGTACAACAAAATTGAGAAAAAATTTACATATATATATATATATATATATATAGTGAATAGTGATCTGCACTCTCGGGCTTTAGAAGGTTAAAACTTACAGTTTATTGAAAATCCATTAAAAGATCAACGTTTCAGTTCCATCTGGAACTTTCATCAGGATCAGGCATGGTACGTTGATCTTTTAATGGATTTTCAATAAACTGTAAGTTTTAACCTTCAAAAGCCCGAGAGTGCTGATCACTATTCACCATATGCATATTTTCCCTGGATTACAAGCACCCGGCCTATACCAGTTCATAAGTGTGAGTGCAAGGATATCCTGTATTTATATATATATATATATATATATAGTTAATACAATGCTAAACAAAAATCTGCACACCAGTCAAGCCATAAGACTTGCTTTTCCCGCAGAAATCCCAAATCAGCAGTGATGTTACAACCGCAAAGGATTCTGGGTGGGCATATGCAAATTAGTTTAACAAAGAATCACATTTTTGCCTCATTCCATTTTAAACATGGATTCCTTTTAATTTGTGTTTGCAGTGCAACCACATGAAACAAGAACTTTCTTCGAAACATAAATCCCTCCACATAAGCAATGACATACTAACTCATTGGTATGAGATGTGAGGGACAGAAAGTGAAGTGTTCAGCCTTATGGTTGAGGACTGCTTTAAATCCATATATTGTCAGTTTGACAAATAATTAAAAAGGAAATACTGAAAGGATGGCACCCTGACACCATAACCACTTCACTAAGCTGAAATGGCCACAGTGCCTAGAGTGTTCCTGTAATAAATATTGTTTATTACAATACTTGGTACAAGCAACCAAAGTCTACAATTTGTTTGATTTTTACTACCATCTAGTGTTCAATTTATATATTACACCTTGTGGACACTATAGGCACCCAGACCACTTTATCTCATTGTAGTGGTCTGGGTGCACTGTACCTGGCCCCTTAAGTTTTAGAGAAGCTTAACTTAAGTTATGTTTTAGATAAACTGCAATGTTTTTTATTGCAGGGTTAAGCTTGCCTCTAGTAGCTGTCTACAAAACAGCCACTAGATGAGCTTCCTGCTGTTTCACACCATGAAACGACACTGGACATCCTCAAGGTTTGCATGAGAAGCTTCTTCTAAATCCCCATGCGCATTAAGTTCCCCCCTTGTGATGATGTTGGTAGAGGTAGAGACAGTCACCACTGAGGGACCTCGCCACTGGAGTAAGGTAAGAGTTTAAAGGTTGCGGCGGCAGAGGTACATCTTTGCAGGGCCGGATTAACATAGGGGCTGATGGAGCTGCAGCTCCAGGCCCAGGCCCAGGCCCATGGAATAGGCCCAGTTTAATAAATAAATAAATAAATAAATAATTTTTTTTTTTTTTTTTTTACACACTACTCTTAGGTTTGCCACCTGACTGGTATTTTTAAGGCACAGACAATATTTGAGGCTGCCTGGCTGTGACGATATTACAGTAATACCGGCAATACAAATGCAAATATTTTTCTCAGTATAAACAGAGATTACTCTGCAATACCTGTACCGGCCAGTAGGGGTCACTGTGTATGGAGAGAGGCAGGGATAGGAAGTTACAGCATCTCCCTGCCTCTCTCTACTCACTGATCCGCGGGGGAGCAGCTACACAGCACAGAGAGCCCAAACAGCAGGTCCAAGCCTGCAGACACAGACTACAGCTCAGGTATGTGAAGGATGGGGGGAAAGGCAGTAGGGAAACATAGGGACACTGAGACACTAGTGGACACATGGGGACACTGAGACACTAGGGGACACTGGGAGACGTGGGGACACTGAGACACTTGGGGACACTAGGAAACATGGGGACACGGAGATACTAGGGGACACTGTGAGACATGGGGATGCTGAGACACATGGGGACGCTGTGAGACATAGGGAGACACACTGGGACATGGATAACAGAACAGGGGGTAGAGTCAGCGCTAATCAAGAAGGCAGCAGTCCCAAACAGGGACTCCCTCTAATGTCCCTGCAAATCAAATAGTAGAAACAAGACCCATCCCCCCTATTTTCTTGTTTCTACACTGGGACATGGACACACTAGGGACACAGTGTCTCAATGTCTCCCAGTGTCCCCATGTCTCCCAGCCAGTGTCCCTAGTGTCTCAGTGTCCTCATGGCTCCCAGTGCCCCCAAGTCTGCCAGTGTCTGTGTCCCCATGTCTCTCAGTGTCCCCATGTCTCCCAGTATCCCCATGTCTCTGAGTGTCCCCAAATGTCTGTGTCCCCATGTCTCCCACTGTCCACATGTCTCCCAGCCAGTGTCTCAGTGTCCCCATGTCTCTCAGTGTCCTTATGTCTCCCAGCCAGTGTCCCTACTGTCTCAGTGTCCCCCTGTCTCCCAGTGTCTGTGTCCCTAGTGTCCCCATGTCTCCCAGTGTTCCCATGTCTATGTTCATAAGTGTCCCCAAGAGTCTGTGTCCCCATGCCTCCCAGCCAGTGTCCCTAATGTCTGTGTCCCCATGTCTCCCAGTGTCTCCTAGTCTCCCAGTGTCTGTGTTCCTATGTCTCTCAGTGCCCCTAGTGTCTTAGTTTCCCCAAATATTTGTGTCCCCATGCCTCCCAGGTTCTGTGTCCCTAGTGTCTGTCACACCATTTCTCCCAGTGTCCCCAATGTCTGTGTCCCCATGTTTCCCAGTGTCTCCATGTCTGCCAGTGTCCCCATGTCTGTGTTCACAAGTGCCCCCATGTCTCCCAGTGTCCCCAAGTGTCTCAGAGCCCCCATGTCTCCCAGTGTCCCAAAGTGTCTCAGTGTCCCCATGTCTTACTGTGTCCCCATGTATCCTAGTGACAGTGGAAACACTGAGACATGGGGACACTGGGAGAAACGGGGACACAGACACCGGGAGACTAGGGGACTGGGCAACATGGGGACAATGACACTGATACATAGGGACACTGATGCCAGACTGGCCTTCCAATTCTTTGGACAGACATGCCCCCTTTTTGGGCATGTTCACCCCTTTTGGCAGTTATGGTCACGTGATTCACGTCAGTGGCCCACCCTTTTACCCCTCTCATTGACTTCCTGCTTCATTGGACATTGCTTAAAAGGTAAAAGCATAAATTAGAGGGAGATTAGCATAGAGTATGTGTTTTCTTATAGCTGCATCCTTTGAGTTTCCCTCCAACACCAACTCCATCAGATACATGACACTTGAGAGGTATGACTGTTTTAGTGTTTTTGGTTGATAAGATTCTGTAATTAGGCCCCATCATAATTGTCAGCACCAGGCCCACTGGGCTCTTAATCTGGCCCTGCATCTTTGTATTCCTTACAGTATAGTGTAACTTTAATGTAAAAAAAATCTTATTTTATCTTCAAAGAAATTATGAAACATTATTAAAGTTGTGATAACAAGCACTACACATGAATTAAAGTAAATTAAACACAATGATGTACTTCATATATAATGAAGTCGTCCCAGCGGACCAATGAGGGTCCTCAATCCAGCAGTGAGCCATTGGGGTCTCCCCCTCACTGCATGATGGACAGGCTTTTAGACGCCATACCACATTCTCAACCTGTTTTGTGGGCTGAGCACTATAACGGACTGTTTATCGCTTAGCAATATATAGAGTTCACATCAATTGTTGGGCACAATATTCCTAATAATGCCATCTTACGAGCTGGTGGGAGGGCCGGGGGATGCCTAGACAGCCTAAAAATATGCTTGCATTCCCTAGGGAGCTTCATGCTAAGCGACACTTTTAAAGTAGAAAGGGACATACACCCTTACCATGCTCACAGTCTTGATTCATTTAAACACAAATGTGAGCCGAGAAAGGGTCAGTTAAAGTTAACACATCTTAACCTTGTTACTCCCCAATTAATGTTAACTTGCTGACATACCCACCAACTTGCTACCACCCCACATTGTTTTTTTATTCTCTTTTGTTATCACATGCTTCCCAACACTGAGACATGACACTAATAGGTTTCTCTCATAAACCACTGACCGCGTAGCATTATGCCACAGAACTAGTAAGTTCACCAATAAGGCAGCCTGAACCACTCAGAGCCCAACTGAGACGCATCAGGTTGCCTATGCCTGGTCTAGATAGTTAAACAATGTCTAAATATGCCATACAGCCAGCCTACATTAGTAACTGTAGCCTGTTATCTGCACTAACATAAAAAAATGAGTCAAATCTCTTGCACAGAGCATTATCTGACTAAGCTTGTAGGTTAATCTTGTTACCAAACCGAAATACTTTGACGTACTGTTATTCCTTTTTTTATAAGGCTATCTCAATAAAAAGAAAAAGATTGACAAAAAAAATTTAAGAAATGTTCTAAAAAGGGAGAAAGCAGAACCTATAAACGAGATTACAGGTATCAAAGTTAGAGGCAAACCTACAAGAGAAATTATAGATTAGGAGGAAGGAGAACCTATAAATGGAATTACAGGTAAGTAAGAAAGAGTAGTTATAGAAATAGAAGTTTAGGCAATAATCCCCAAAGCAGGTTCACAGGAAACCCTATAAGAGAAATTATAGGTAACAGGCAAACATAATATAACAGGACAGAAATAAAAAGAATATAATAAAGGCTTAAAGAATTCAGGTTAGTTCTAAGTTTAGATGATCTTTTGTTTGGAGGTTGTACAGCAGTTACCATATATGAAGAACAGGGGTATCCAAGAGAGTAGCAATTAATAGTAAAGCTTGTAAACATAACATAGTTTCACCATTCACATGAACAACATGTTCCCAACATTCACATGAATAACATGTTCCCAACATTCACATGAATAACACGGTCCCAACATTC